TATATATATATGTATTATATACATATATATATATATATATGTATCTCCCCTCGCACTTTCGAAGATGGGTGCTGACGTTTCGGCCTTGGCCTCAAGAGCGTCAGCCTGAAAGTAACGATCTCCCACGGCCCTGACAGCGTATCATCTTACGACATGCTTTTAAAGGCCCGGTTCTATGTCGATAACGCGTCTCGAGCACTCAAAAACACCGCAGCCATCAGTCCAAGTCCCCGCAAGCCCTACTCACCGTCCCGAGACCCTAAACTTCTAAACCCTAACCTCGTTTTAGGGTTTAGGGGTTTAGGGTTTAGGGTTTAGGGTTATAACCTTGGGGCTGTCTGGCCTTTGCGAGATCCGCCGTCCACTCCTCGCGTGTACCATCCTTGGGTGGATAAGTTCATCAATGACAAGACCTTGACCCTATGCAGCCTTCCGTCTTAGCAGGGTTTCCTAGCATACGTCCTTAAGAAGGTACGAGTAGGTTAGTTGGGGGACTACACCATACACCAAACACCAGAGTGTCAATATGTCGGAGTCCGCAGCCGCATGCAGTTGAAAGAGATCGCCACGGAAAGACAGGAGTCCGCCAACAGAGGTTGTGTCGGGAGTAAAGAATGCCATCTCTCGATGCCCAGAAGAAACAGCGACAAACAAAAGCGAGTGGGAGCACCAGGAAGGAGGTCAGCCGTTCTCAACGAAGCGGCTTTTCTGCACCCCTAGGCCTAAAGCCACCTAGACAGTGGCTATGAGGAATGGGTTGGCAATCGAGTTTGGCCTTCTGCAACAGCAACTCAGCCGATTCTCTGGATCTTCGTACTTGCAGGGGAGAAGTTGCACTTAGGTCGTACTTAGGCCCCTCAAAACCTCAGGCCAGTGCCAAGGATTTTGCCATGGAGGCAAGCCGCTGTGCCTGGTTGCCGTTCAGCTTAGCACGTGTGCCACACAAGTTTTGTGAACTGAAGACTGCCAGGGATTTTGTATCGATCACGATGACCGTGTTTGTGGGACAGCCGCTGACTCTCTGCGACTATCCACGAAACATCACAAGCCTCCCGTTGCGGAATCAGTGGAAACCTGGCCTCCACCTGCAAATCCATGCGCGCCATACTCTCCTCGTGGAGCTCTGACTGCTGCTCCTGGAGACGTACACACATCTACTCGTTGTCTGGCACACTGACAGGACGGCATCTCTGGACTTAAAGGCTTACAGTCGGATGTCTTGATCACCCGGCTGCCGGTGAGCAAAACGCTTTCATCACCACGTTTGTTGCTGCTCATGCTCTGGCTACTGCTTCTATTGAAGCTTCTAGTCATACTCCTACTCCTACTCACACTATCTCCCCGCTCCCGCTCCCACTCTGACTCCGACTCCTACTCCGACTACTGCTACGACGACGATCACGACGAACGACGACGACAACAACTGCTGCTGCTGCTGCTACTACTACTACTACTGCTACTACTGCTGCTACTGCGACGACGGTAACGACCACACCTGCGACGCAACTCCTCCTCTTCCTGCAGCAAACATTCTGAGCGGTCATCATGATGTTTATTAGCCAATGTAGCGTACACGAAATTAGGGTACCAGCTTCTGGCCTTGTTCACGTGTTGCTCGTTTTGTGTTTTTTTCGGATGTAATGTTTAATGTCTTCTTCTTACTCTGCAAACACATGTGATGATCAGGCAGGTGATACACGCGATGATGATGACAGTGCTGTCGGCATAGACATGATGTAGATGATGAGGGTGATGATGGTGATGATGAGCATGATGATGTTGGTGATGATGATGATGATGGTGATCGTTATCATCACATGCATCATCATGACGGCAAAAAGGCAGATGCTAGTTCTGCTGGTGGTGGCGGCGACTCTGATGATGGCGATGGCTTCGGAGCACAAGCACTTGCAGGCCTCCTTTCCAGTAGCGGTGTTTTGGGCGCGAAGGGTCCAGAGATGCAGAAGATGTGGAAAATGGACGAAGATGGTGGAGGGCCAGGGAGCTCTCTAAAACCCGCAGTGACTGAGCCTGGGTATCAGTTGCTTGAAATCATGCTTCAATGAGAATCATCGGCCATCTCACCTAGCACCGGTTGGGCTTTACGGAAGTGTGTCGACTGGGACTGGACGTTCCCCATTCCCACCATGGTGCACGAATTTGGAGTTGTCGGAGTCTGTGATATCCAAAAATTGAATCTCGGATGAACAAAGATGACAGGAAAGATATGCTTCCAGAGAACTCCTATGACCATATTGTCCGACCAAACTCTGATGGAAAACAGCCCCTGGTGTAGCCCGTAACTTACACCCTAAACCCTAAACTTTCCTAAACCCAACCGAACCCCGAAGATCGAAAAAACCCTAAACCCAATCGCCAAAAGTCCCAGACCTTCCAATATATTCTTTAAGTATAGCAACTTTAGGGTTTAGGGTCTATAGGGTAGAGTAATATCCCTACTAGTAATATGCTTTAAGGGAGCTGGAAGGTGTGGGATCCATGAGCAGAAAGCACTGCGAGTCGATCTCAGAGCGCCGAGCGCTTCACAGGGAAGTATAACCTTCGATACAGCACGGCTCGGGAGAGTGGGCTTTTTGAGGCATTTAGAGCTCAGGAGGCTTGGGTTGATGGCGTTTAGGGTTTAGGGTTTAGGACGCTTCGGGTGTTCATGGTGCTTCGGGTATTTAAGGATCAGGATGCTAAGGGTTTTGGAATTAAAGTGGCCTTGGTTTAGGGTTTAAGGCTTCGGTTGGTGGTGGAGGGTTTAGGGCTTAGGATCATTGTGAAGCTTATCGTGAACTTCGGAAGCTGGAAAGCACGTTTTCACAATACCGGCTTCCGAGAAGAGAATAAGGCTAAAGGCCCGGTGCATGCCACAGGTCTGTCGGCAATTAGTGCGACTCGTTGCACATGCTTCAAAAGGTGTACTGCTCATGTCATAACCACTTTGCGAGGGCTTTCGGTGAATGCTATGCTGGACTGCCAGTGAGGTAGTGAGGTTAAAAGTAGACCCAGAAACTGGGCCAAAGCTCCTTTTGATTACTGACGGCATCACAACAATTGCTGCATGTTCTACCTGTTCTGCCACAACGACAACAGCAACAACGACAAACAAGAACTACTACTACTACTACTACTACTACTACTACGACGACCACCACCACCACCACCACCACCACCACCACCACCACCACCGCCACAACCACCACCAGAATGACGACGACGACGACTACTACTCCTGCTACCACGACTACCTCCGGCACCACCACTACAAATCAACGACAACGACCACGGCTACGACGACGTCGACGACTAGTAGCAGTGCCACTACGACGCTGTAATTACCACTGCGACTGACACAACAATTTCGCAGCTTGAGACTATGTAATATAGGAGCCTTAATAATTAGAATGGGATTTTGGGGCCCAT